GGACACTAGAAACATTTTTTTAAAAAGCACTATTAGCTAAGACATTTCAGGACACAGGGAAAATCCCTTTAGTTGCATTTTACTATTCTATAACACTACCTAAACGATGTCCTCGAATCACTAATTCTGCCATAATTAATATGCATTGTTGAAGAAGGGTGATCGGTAAATAATATTTTAGACAGATTTCTATCCAACTGGATAAAATAGTCCAGTGCTTAAAGTAGTGAGTTTAAGTAAGCTGGAAATTTCATTTAGAGAGAAGATATTTTTGCCAACCGGACAGACAAAGGAAGCTCTATGTTATTGTGCATTTTCCCCGAAGGCAGGCCAAATACTACAAAAAATTAACTTTTGAAGGATCTGATAGCCCTGGAAGATGAGGAGGTATCACCATTAAATATTATGTAAATTCTTAGAGGAAAATGAAGGTGAAATTACTTGAAGTTCACCCCATGACTCAGGGCAGAGCCCAGTTAAGACTCAAGGGCTTTCAACTCCCAGCCATGACTTCACGCAGACAATTTACTGGCAAAATCAGATGGTGCATTTTGAACACACGAAGGACTGGTGTTGAGAGAAGAAGATCCCAGATAAGAGGGCTAGGACTACTGCTGTTTTGTTCCCACATGATCCCTGGCCCCGCCCCGCCCCAAACTGCCAGAGCAATGTCCGTGGGGTCTCCTAATCCTGGCATCACACGAGTACACTGCAGGGGCGCCTGCGGGCTCTGCTCTGCCCAGAGGTGGAGAGAGCCGTCAGTTACCCCCACACACCCACAGATAACACAACTGCGCCCCACCCCTGCGGTCCGACAGGGCCCGGGCTGAGCCCTGGCAAGGACTTTCCTGCAGCTCCCTCTGTGAAATGAGGACGGGACCAGACGGCCTCTGAAGCCCGTCTTGGTTCTAGAGGCCCGCGAGTCTGACACCGCGTTTACTGTAAGTTACGGCAGCTAATACTCAATAGTCATCCAATTAACTGTTTTCTCAGTCTCTCTTTAAGTTCTTCATTCTGGACTTTGCTGTCGAAACTTATTAGGAATGTCTACAATTCTATGTACCAAATTTGCTTAAAAACTATTTTAATACCAGATTTTGAAGAGTGCCAATTTTTTAGTGTATTAAAATACAGGTCACACAATATATTTAAAATATGCAATGTGTCTCTTACAATGATGTTAAGACCAAAGTTCCCTATAATTAGCTACAAAAATATGGTAAAGAACTGAATCAAAATAAAACCAAATAAACCAGCTACTAAACTACACATATGTCCTTAAAGTCTCATGGGAGTCAAATATTCCAGTAAAAATAACAGAAGAGATGGAAACACAAGTTTCTTATTATCACACTTCATATGTTATAAAACATAACAGCTAACTTATTTTTGGCAAAATGATTAGGGATTGCAACACTCTGGCTTACACCAACTTCCTTGATTGTCAAATGCATCTGAAATGGAGCGTGTCATGCTACCTTCAGGCACGCAGGCCCTGTGCCGTCTCAGAGCAGCCTGGAGACACTGAGGTTTCGACACTTCGGCAGGGACCGTACCACCAAAATTAACTGGGCCAGGTGCTTAAAGAGGGCTGGGGGGACTTCAACAATGTAGTTAATTGAAACCAGATAAAGCTTTTGAATAGTAAAAACATCATACAGATGTTCACCCTCCTCCCCGCGTGACCTTTATGGACAATTTATTGCACACGTTATTTTCTGAAACGCACCCTTTTAGAGAAAACACAGTTTCACATGTCTCTCTGAAAACTCCATAATCACCGCATGAGTTATGTGTCCACAAACAGACTAGGTTAAGCTCACGTTTCATCTTCCTTTCCCCTTGTCACCACTATCCCTACAAGGGCAAGAGCACCTGAAGGTAAAGCGATGATTAGCAAGTTCTAACGCTGGCGAAGTTGTGAGAGGCCACACACTAACCGGAGGAGGCATTGCGCTTCTTTTCCACCAGACGTCGTGAACGCGAGCCAAAAAGGGGAGACGGGTCCGGAACCAATGTGGGGAACAAGGGCTCTCACAGCTGCTTCAGAGAAATGACACATTGAACGCAGGATGGATGTGGGGCAAACAAACAAACTCCCAACCACAGACCTGTGATTAAGTGGACAGGCTGCAGGACACAGAAACAAACAGTTGCTTCCCTATGTGCATACAACAGTGTACTCATCAGGGTTCTCTAGTGAAACAGAAGCAATAGGAGATACATGGAGATTTTACATAGGAATTGGCTCGTGCAGTTACGGAGGTCACGGAGTCCCACAGTATGCCACATGCAAGCTGAGAAGCAGGAAAGCCAGTGGTGTTAGGGGGTCCAAGGCCAAAGGCTTCAGAACCGGGGGTACTGCTGGTGTAAGTCCTAGGGTCCGACCACCTGGGAACCCAGAGACCCAAGGTCCTGGGGCAGGAGAAGGTGGAGGCCCCCCCTCAGGAAGTGAGCGAGAAAGAATTCACCCTCTAGGGGCATTTTTGTCCTATCTGGGTGCTCGCAGGGCTGGTTGGTGCCAGACGGCGACGGTGAGCACGGGCCTCCTCTCCCTCAGTCTCCTGACTCACGTGCTAACCCCTCTGGAGGCATCCGCACAGACAAACCCAGAAGCCACGTTTTGCCGGCTATCTGGGCGTTCCTTACCCCACTCAAGTTCAGGCATACAATAAGCCATCACAAACAGTAATGCTATTATTACTTCAGATATGCAAGTACTCTTTTAAGAACATGTTTTTAAAGCTTTTAAAATACCTGGAACAACGAATAATCAAAATGATGTTTCACGTCAGTTCGCTACATTGTATTTGACAGGAGTGCAGCATCGCTCCCCACACTGGGCAATAAACAAACCGTGTGTGTGTGTGTGTGTGTCTACACGCCCGACTGTAGCCCACACCAGCGAGCCCCTAACTGTCGGAGTGGCGGGGCAGGCGGCTTCTGACGCGGCCCCCGGGGTGCTCACCTTCTGCTATTCGTGTGCTGGCAGGGTGACCGACCTTTCGGCGTCTCTGGGCCACACTGGGAGGAGAAGAGTTGTCTTGGGCCACGCATTAAATACACAAACACTAACAAAAACACTGATGAGCAGGAAAAAGGTTCTAAGTAAATGTACGACTTTGTGTCGGGCTGCACCCACAGCCACCCTGGGCGGCATGTGGCCTGCAGGCCGCGCGCAGAACGCCCCTGCCAGTGTAAGCCGCTCCTCTCCAGTGGGGGCTGGGCCTGGAGACTTGCTTCCGACAGACAGACAGACAGACAGACTACCGTAAAGTAATGGGGTTATCGCCTCCGTAATCAGGTCCCGGTTGTGACTTCCCTCTCGCCGGCAGACTCTTTCTCTGGCTTCCCGCCCACACCTGCTCTCCTGAGGCGAGCCAGAGAGGCCCACCTGTCAGGGAACGGACGGTGGCCTCCCACAACTGCCGGCGACGAACCCAGACCCGCAGGGCAACGGCCTCCGAGGAACCGAGTCCTGCCGACGGCCACGCGGATGAGCTTGCAGCAGACCCATCCCAAGTCAGACGTTCAGAAGAGACGCTTTGACTAAAGTCTTATGAAAGACCCTGGAGCTGAGGACCCAGCCAAGCCGTGGCCCGACCCCAGACCCACAGAAACGGGAGAGAACACATGTGTGTTGGTTTACACTGTTGAGTTCTGGGGCGGTTTGTTGCACAGCCATGGATAACTGACACAGTAGTTAACCAAACAACCGAGGCAACGATGCCCTGTCGTTTCCATAGTAACAGTTGCTAACACGTATAGGAAACTTTGAAGTTCTAGGCATCATTTCTAATTCCTTATATAATTCCTCAAAAAAGTCCTCTGAAGAACGTATTATCTGAATTTTACAGACGAAGAAATGAAGGTACAGAGAGACCCGATAACTTGTCCAAAGTCACAGTGACAAAGTATGACACAGGTACTTGAACTTAGGCGTCGTGCCTCTTGAGCCAGGGCTCACAGCAGCCGTGCAAACAGAACCACTGAGTCACAGGGCTTGTGACGGTGGCCACCTCGTACCACAGCACTAGAGGGGAGTTAGGAGGCGCAGGAGAAATTCGAGGCCACGCAAAATGAGGGAGTCCCTTCCTACCTTGCCTTCAGATGACCAGGTTCAATGGCACGCCTCATGCCTCCACACACCCTGCAGTTACTTAGGGGCAGTTATCACACTGGCGGCCTGGTCTGTCCCCTCCAGGAGCCGCCAGACCCTGACCTCAAAGCTGCCTTATTCCCTGGGATGTCCTCCAAGCACAGCACAGGGCCTGACACACAGCAAATATTTAGTATGTTTGTTGGCTGAAGAAATAATTTATGCTGTGAATCGCATCCATTCAATGGGACAGTTCAGTGGTACATGTTAGTGAAAGTACGAGGTCTGGTTTTGTCTTGAAGTCCCCCGCAGTTCACTACCTTCCCTGGGCACTTTACAGAGGTTTCTGTGTCTCCAGTGTCTCTGGCGCGTGGTGGCACCTAATAAGCACTTTTGAAAGAGAGAATGAACGAATGAATCAATGAGTATCTCAAAAAGCTGGCCAAGCTGCAGAACTGACAAGATAGCCATTTGCTTATCAATGATGATGATGATAAGTTTTCTTCCTTTTAACAGGAAGCATGGACATTTGCAAAATACTCTGCCAATAAAGCCAGATTCTTATCTAGGTCTCAGCTAGTGACTGATCTTAAATATTCTTTTATAAAAGACAACAAATTACCGATAACTTAAAGAACTCCAGATAACTCTAGACTAAAAGACATTCAGTTGGAAAGTTCCCACCTCCTCCAGCACCATTTTTGAAACGTCATGGAAACCGCACAAACACACACTCCCACAGGCCCACGGTCACACGGAGAAAAGGCCAAAGGCAGCTGCCAAGGGCCCTCTCTCCGTTCTGCGTATCAGTTAAACAGGAGACTTGGGGGCAAAGGGCAGCCGAGGGGCGTCTGTGCGAGCGTACGACCATCCACCTCCAGTCGGCCTCAGGCGTACTCACTGGCATCTCAGGGGCGTGCTTCAGGATCTGGAGGCAAATGTAGCTGCCTATTGAATGGCCGATGAGCACCAGTTTGGTCTCCTTGGGCACGTGAGTTCTCAGGAAAGCCAGCTTGTGTTCTATTTGACCGCTGAGCCCATAGATGTCCTTGATTTCTTGAGCATTTGGATCTGAAACCAAAAATATGTGCATGTTTTTATTCAGTAAGTCCAAGTTACAAATTCACTGGTAAAATAGTTTAAAAAATAACAGTTCCCATTTGTTTAAAGCCTACCATGTGCTAGCTACAGTGTTAGGCACTATTTACAATAAATTATATCAACCAATCCCCACGAGAACCCTGGAAGGGAAGTATTCCTACCTTCATTTTATAGAAGCTCGTGGACAGCAGCTGATAGAATGACAGTCACACACTTGTTCAGTGAGAGGGGGGACTCAAACACAGGTCTCTCTGTCCTCACAGCCCACACACTGTCAAATATTCCACGAACAACTACTCTAAGCTTGTGCCAATGGTCCTCAAACTTGAACATGCACCCGCACCCTCTGGGGGTTTCTCATAGCCTGCTTGCTGGGCCCCACCACCACAGTCTCTGGTTCAGTGGGTCTGGGGGGAGCCTGGGAATCTGCATTCCAAGTTCCCAGGAGACGTTGATGTTGCTGGTCCTAGGACCACACACTGACAGCCACTGGTGAGGCTAATTTACCCGTGCTAGTAAACAACTACAAAATCCATGACGGTGCTTCATTATTTTAGATAATCTTTGAAGAACTCAAACCAAAAACTTAAGTAGAATTGTTGTAAGCTGTTTCTTTTAATGAGCACCATCCTGACCTGAAATGTGCCTTCTTCCTTTCGCAGGTGAACTGTCTTCTGCATTCTTCAAGACTAATTAAGACTTGACCTATCTGATCGCCGAGCAACATGAATGAGCCTCCCTTCGTGGTCAACCGGTACTCCACTCTTACTACAGCCCGTGACCACACTTGTGCGATGGTCCATTTCCTCTCGCAGGCTGTGAGCTCTCTGAAGGCGAGGTCCATCTTTTCACCTGTGTCCTCCGTGACTAAATGCACAGTAAATACTGTCGCTGAGTGAAAACATTAACTGACTAGCAAGCTCTGAGGATGCTGCCAGCTCTGATATTCTGTAAGTACAGAAAACTTCACAGGTTTTCCCTGTGAGCATATAGATGGCCCTAATGACAGAGTGTAACATTTTAAATATCACAAGGGGGTCAATTGCTTCCTGAAATGTGGATCACTGGGATACTCGAGTTCCTGCCTCTGTGACTCCTGCAGGGCACTGACGGAAACGATAATACGCCACAGTGCGGATTGCTCACAAGGCGCCCCACACTCAGGAGGAAGCGCTGATCTCCAGCTTTATCTGGACCCGCGGTTTTCGTTTCCTACAGTGCTCAGCCCTCCCTGCTCGCCTGGGTGACTGCCTTCCACCCTTCCTGCTCTCAGCAAGTGCTCTTTCCTCTGGGCTGCCACTGTCCTTACGCAGCTTTCCCTCCCTTCAGCTTCCTCAATGCCCCGTGCTGATCGGACTGCACTGCCCTGACTTACCATGACTGTGCAACTCAGTCTTGCTGATCTCTGACCCCCAGCGCCGGGCAGACCAGTTAGTAGAGGGTTTTTCCTACTGAACCAATGAGGATTCGCTCCCTCTTTCCGTGGCACTACCATCTCCCAGGCAAAACATGTTCGGCCCTACGCCGTCTTCCCAGGTCAGTCTAGAAGTCATTCTCCAGTTAACAAGGAAGTTCAACGTAAAGCAAAATTGAGAAGAGATATAAATAGAATCTGGAAATCTGACTTTGGTAGGACTCCTGACAAATCCAGATCCAAATGTTTATTTAATATTATCTTTAAGTTTGAGTGGTTTACACTCCCTTGCCCTCGGTGTACCTTCTCTGATCACTGCACCCACAAGGGATCATGTGGTTTTCTGATGCCCCAAACCCAGCACTGACAGCACGTGCAACTGGAGTTCTACATTACTATTTGTCACAGTGCACAGCATCTACAAACGCCGGTCTCCCTTTCTTTGGGACGGTGTGGTACAGCACAGAGACCACGAGCATTGGCAACAGCATAAACCTGGGTCTGTGTCCCAGCTGAACACCTCACTGTGTGGTTTGGGCAAATCTGTCAACCTGCTTCAATCTCCTTGTGTGCATCACAGAGATAGTAATTCTAGCTTCCTGGGAATGTCGTTTGCACAACTTTAAAAGCACACAGTACAAAGTGTCTGGTATAAACCAAGAAATGAAAGTTATGCTTCTGTCATTTCAATTCCTGTCATTTAAATCCTCTGTCAAATATATACCAAGAACTTTAACGTGGACAGAGCAAAGGGAAAGAAAATGAGCTCAGTGCAACAAACATTTTAAACTTCACTGATACCAGAAATAGGCTCCTGAAACTTAATGAACATTATAATTTGAACAATTACTCAAGTGAATATTTCAGAGACAAATCGGGCTTTACCTCTAGGAACTGCTCAGATTTCTAAGATAAACACACTACTTGTTAGTGTTTGCTGAAGTAATGAGATTAATTGGGAAAGTACTTTCTGTAAATAAATAATCAATGACAGAAAATTTAAATGTGCCATCTGGACATGATTTTACTGGCAAAATGTACAGGTTAAAAGACTATAACTTGACTATATATTTCAATGCCCATTATTATTTTAATATACTTTGAAAAACTTAGGAATCATCAGCTTATTATCCATAGAATGCAATAAAAGTGACAATTAATTGTATCAAAATGAGAAGAATGATAATATGGACATGATTTATACCAATCTTTCCGTAGGGAAAAAGTACTCCAAGTTACAATCAACTCAGTAGATGTGGAACTCACTCTGTTTCTAAGTAGAGAACTGCCTGAACTGGTGTTCGTTAATCCGGCTCAGTGCAGCTTTATCAGCACGTGGTCCTGAACGTAATGCTGACAATTCCCTTTCAGAACCTGACCCAATTTCTTACACCCATCTCTCTGAAACTCACTTTAGAGCTCACTTATTGATTCTGGAGTATGCTTCAAAAAATACATCTAATCTATTCCTAAGTAGTTTGTAGAGAAATTAAGTAATATCAGTATTTCACATTTACTTTTCATGTAGTTGTTCAAATTGGTTGATGCAGTTACTAAAATTTTGTCAGTTTTGGATAGAAATATCATGCACCCTTACAGCTTCGGGACACAGGTAAGTCTGAGAATGACGATTTTCTTCCATTTCACATGAATTAAATTGGCTAGTCTGAAAGAAAACAGTGACTAACTGGCCAGTGGTAATGCTGAAAGTATAGGTGTGAATAGAATATACTCTCCTTGTCTTCAAGGAGTTCACAGTCTAATAAGAGAACACACACAAAAAATAAAAACACAATTGTAATGCACTGAAGTAAGAAAACCTCAAGCATTTCCTTAAGAACAGGGTTTGGGAGATCATGCCTTTCTCCAGGTTGCCCAGGATAACGCATGCACGTTACCCTAAACGTGTAACGGTCTAGGACGGGACTGGCTGAGAAGCCGAACGCCCCTGGAGCACATGGAATTATGGGCCGGGAGATTTAAAATGAAAGGAGGGCGGAGACTGGCTCTCTGGCTCGCCTCTTCCCTGAGGACGCCTGGATGATCTGCTGCCGCTGCCTGCGTTTCCCAGCGGACGGGGTTTTGGGCGGGAAGGAACTCGGCCACAGCCCAGCGTCGGGCCGGCCTGGCCGGCGGTAGCAGCGCTATTCTTCTTTGGGTGTCCCTCTCTGGGAGGGGAGACGGGCGCTGAGCCAGAGGCCTGCCATTCTTCCAGAATCGTGCAGCTTTTGTATCTTATACTGTTTTAGTTTATAAACTAACCCTATAGAAATAAGATAACTAAAAACAGGGGGAATCACAGGGGAACTTGAAAGTTAAAGATTGTAGCCTTAATTGATAGGCTTAAGTGACTAATGCCTGTGGAAAGCTGTTATTCCAAAACTACGGGGCTTTTGAATAAAGATTCCTTTCCTTTGTCCCCAAACCTTTGCTTCTGGAATTTTACCCGGAGGGTGGTGGCGGCAGCAGGACCCCCAGTGGCTGTTCGGTGACAGCTTTACATATTTGATTGCAATCATAGTGGCCTAAGTTTACATGCATTTAACCATACACATACATGTACATCTACCTATACACTGAATATGAATGTAAGTGTTGCTGTATATTGTCACAGAGGCAGTGTTTACGAGTTGTCTGCAGCCACGGCACTGGCAAGACCGGAGACCGGCTCCCCACCAGCCTTCTGCTGGGCTGAGTCTGTGGACAGCAACTCGCTGAGCCTCGCACCAGAACTTTCTCAACCAGTAAACTCCCCCGTCCCGCCCCTAGCGCGCCTCCAAAGCTGTAAGCAGTAACTTTAATAGCAGCACTTCGCATCATAAAGAACACTTTGGGCAAGATGAATATACAGTTTACTCTTTAGGAAAAGTTTTAAAAACACACACAACGATATCATGTTACTCATCATTACCTGCATGTAATTAAAATACAAAAAGAGACACGAAATTTACTCTAAATGTGTTATAGTGGAAGTGGAGATAGGATACAAAAAGAGATGGAACTTCTTCTGTACTGCTTTATTTCACTTATTTAATTAACAAAAATATGTAATTCTGACAGAGTATTAACTATCAAAAGAGGAGTGAGTAACAGAATCTTGGACTGTTATGTAATTGTTTGTAAGTCCCCATAGTTTAAAAAAGGCTCTCAAAGTAAAAGAAAAGTTTTAAATTAAGAGTGCATTGATGTGCGGTTCCCAGCTACCTTACACTGACACTATAGGGGAATCCTCCATTCACTCACGTCTTCACTCCTCCCAGGGGAACACCAAGGCAGCCGAAGGACGTGAAGCTCACGCTAAACACCAGTTTAAACCCCAGGGAAGCGGAGGAAAGGAGCTGCCCCCAGCTCTTCGCGCTTACTCAGGGCACCACCCAACGGCCGCCCCTCACAGCCCCCGGGTTTACAGGCCGACGTGCACGTGCGCTCCCCGTTCAGCCGGAGCTGCCCCCGGCTCGCCCCGGCTCCCAACACCGGTGTGACCGCCGGCCTGCAACGCGCGCCACGCAGCGAGGGGACGTGGGTGGGCACGCCACTGAAAACTGCTACCTCACTTGAAAAAACAAACCAAAAAGTTTGTAAACGCTATACACGCCTTACAGAATACTTTTAAACAATCATTCTCCAAACAGACGGTGAAAACCAGGGTAATCAAACTGCGCTTCCCACTCAGCTAACACCGATGATCTGGCTGAGACTTCCAATGGGGAACACGGGGGGAGGGGCGCGGCGGGAGCCGGGACGGACGGCGCGGCAAGAACGGAACGCCACCGGCTTGGCGAAAGGCATGGAAGTGTGAGGTGTCATGGTGGACACAGCCATGGTGTCCATGGCTGTCTGTGGTTTTAGCGAGAGGTGGAACGAGCGAGCAAGGTAGAAAGGAAGGCGGAGACTCCACCAAGGAGGACCCCGAGCATCACCAAGGAGTCTGGACCCCACTGTGTGAGCAGCGAGAAGACACCGAAGGGTCGTGGAGGGAGGGGCCGCGGTCCCGTCTAGTCCGCTTCGGGGGCCTTCGCAGGGCCGTGCTGCTGTCCAGGCCCTCCCGTGCTCCCTCCCGGCTTCCCGGAGACTCACAACTGGCTGGTTTTAACCTCTTTCCTCGCTCTGCTTTCCCTGACTCTTCCCACCTACTTAGAGACCTCCTCGTTTATTTCTGGTGACTGTGAGTGCTGGGACTTGACCCTCTGATGGTCCTAGCCTTGGGCTCGGCTAATATTCCGTTTTACCTCCTCCTTCTCTGCCAATCACAGTCCTGGCAAGAGAGAAAGCCCTACTGGTTTTTTTCCTTTTCCTTCAGTTATTTTCTGGGTACTGGAATGGGGGTGGTTTTGTGTTTCTTTGGATAAACATGACCCAGATTCATCACTAGTTGAAAGACTGTGTAACGTTTTTAGATAATGTTTTATCAGCTGAAACTAAACCACTGTGATTTCCAGCTTTTATGTGAATCTTTTTGAACAAATGACTTAAAATAGTTGATAATGAATCTGCCATCAAGGAAGCTGACTCTACAGTAAATCAAAGCCAGAAAGGGTTTATACTTCTAATTCCTCAAATTTTCTTTTCACGCTTTTTTTTTTGAACCACCCCCTTCTGACATTGGCGAACATCTGTTCTCCCAATTATACTCAATTTATGACTGATAATGTGGTGCAACGAGAATATTATTTCCAACTGTTCATAATTTTAACATGTGCTAATATGAAGCAAAACATACTTTTAACACTTGGTGTGTGGTTATAGCTTATGTCCTTTCTCTCAACGGTGACATATTTTTCACACCGCACTTTGCACGTCAGAAAACCTGCACTTTGGAATAATAACCTCAGATGATGGATAGTGCATCTGTCCTGCCTATCCACCGCACTCCACCATAGCATGCGCCTGCAAACACAACCTCCGACGTGGAAAACAGATGAGAGGAGAACTGTTTTGGGGGAAGGGGGTGCTGGGGAGGCCCAGACCCCCGCCCGCCCTTCTACCAACTTCTGAGCTGCCTGGGACACAGGTGGGAAGCCAATAACCTACAAAGCAGCATTCCTGTTTCCTTGTAGACCCCTGCTGCTCTCCACATAATAACGTGGTAGGTTGTCACTGAACCCTTGATGAGGACGGTTGCCCTTTTACCGGCTCTGGGAACCACAGCCTCCTTGGGCCCTGCGGTGGCCCTGTGGGCTAATGCCTCTAGGTGGCACTGTTCTCACTAAGGAGCAAAGGGCCCAGGCTCTAATTACCAAGTTATTAACTCAATAGCACACAAGCAGCCTAACCAATAAGCTTACTTGAAATAAAGTTATCAATAACAAGATGTCAGTGGAAAACAAGAATTAAAGACACTTCCCAGAACCCAGGCACACGACAGGCACCTCCCACTGGAGCTCCTCCCCCCTGTTTCCTGGTGGAGGTCTACGGCTCTGAACAGGTGGCCCCAGGGCCGGCCGCATCCGCAGGACCCGGGAATGTGTTAGAGATGCAGGTTCTCAGGTCCTGCCCCCACATCAGCCGAATGCACACCTCGGGGGGCAGCATCCAGTAACGGGCATCGTCATCAATCACCTCCAGGGGACTCGGGCCCTTGCCCAGCTCTGCGGGCCCCTGATCCAGGGTTAGCCGTCAAGAGTCCATTCTCAGCTTCCAAAGTTGCTATTCACATTCTGCTCGAATGTTTGCTTTATCGAACTTAAGACTTTCTTTGGTCATTCATGAAAAAGTAACTTAAAACAATAAAAACTGTATCTTAAGATATTTCATAGCAGAACAAGTACTTGCTATTCAGTTTCAGCCACATGTCAATATGATGGTTGTTGAAATAGATGTTTTTAATCAAGGCAACAATGAATATTCAGTTTCATGCCCCTACTGCTCCCAAAATTGTTCACTGTTAGGTAATCAATATGGACTTACTTTTCAAATATACCCTGTTTTTAAGCAAAGCATAAAAGTCTCTTAAGTTGCATTCATATAGGGATACCCACAGGCAAACAGAGAGAAAAAGATATTATGAAGGAGGCGCTTTGAAGTATTTATGCAAGCACTTGCAATGAGCTGCACTGTTTCAACTATGCTCCATTTACCCTGTCCCCCTGACGGGTCACAGCAGGAAAAGGGTCACAGACTAGCGTACAGCCTGTGACCATGGCAGGTTTAATCCAAGAACTGGCTCACAGAGACCTAAGCCTGAACACCTGGTCTTGTTAGCGCTCTGTGCTAACTGGCTGGGAGCGCCTGCCCACGGCACCGGAGCGCTCACCGGACCAACTATGAAAAGCTGGCTTCTTGTCAAGGCTTGGCCACACTTGCTGGCAGAGATCATACAGTGCTGTATACAGCCTTATTTTCCTTCCTTGAAAAATAAGGGCTCAAGGTGGGATTTGATGTAAGACACTTTTTAAGTCTATGATTCTATAATTTTTTAAAAGATTTTATTTATTTTTAGAGAAGGAAGGGAGGGAGAGAGAGAGAAAGAAACATCAATGTGCAGTTGTTGGGGGCTGTGGCCTGCAACCCAAGCATGTGCCCTGACTGAGAATCGAACCTATGATGCTTTGCTTCACAGCCTGCGCTCAATACACTGAGCTACGCCAGCTAGGGCTTATAATTCTTTTTTCTTTAAAACATTTTTTCAATAGCAGGAATTTTCCAACACACAAAAAGTACAAAGAACAGCATAACAAATCCCTGTGTGCCCACTGTCCACTTAGCCCAATTATTTTTCTTCCAGCTTCATTGACCTATGATTGACAAATAAAAATTGTGTGTATTTAGGTTGAACACGTGATTGTTTTTAAAGGTGGACAATGTAATGATTTAATAAACATTTACACTGTGAAATGATTGCCACAATCAAGTTGATTAACACATCCATCACCTCACACCGTCTAGTGTCAGTGCCTGACGCGAAGCTTTTGATTAAGGAGGCACCCATTTCCAGAGACGTACTTTGAAGAGACACACAGCCAGCTGCAGGTCACAGCTACCGGCGAGCGACCCCCACCCATGGAGGTCCCTACTCTGCAGAGTCTTTTGAAACCCACGCCTGTTCCCTTCTTTAGTTACCCCGTGAGCACCCCCACGATCTGCACGGCTGTTTATCACTTCACCGTTCTCTAGAAGTGGGGCCCAGGGCCTCCTGAGAGCAAGGTCCACGGCTAAGGACCGTGGTTCACAACAATTCTCTCCGCGTTCCTTTCAGGAAGACCCTGAAGATGTAGGGATGGATCCATAAATGTACAGCTGGTTACTAGCTGGTAAACAGAGAAGGGAAATCCCAGACAAATCATTTAATCTGCTCAAAACGTTACAAAAAATTACTTGTAGAAGAATGAAAATGACCCTACAGGCCCTAAAATCACCAAAACGTGGCATCCTGGGCCTAATGCCACCAGCAGAGGTTCCCACTGGTGTCGTGCAGCTCTGAGCCTCAGCGGGCTTTCCAGAGACGTGGACACTCACTCACTCACTGGCTATAAAGGAAAGCAGGTGTATATAAAGACATACCATCTGGGGTTGCGAGAATCTTCTTGTCTTTGGGAGCCACAACTTGCCCGGCATGACTGATAACCCAAACTGGAAAGCGTCTGTTTGTTGCAGAGTATAAAGCCTTTGCAAACGGCACATAAAAGGTAGAAAAACCCGGGTTGCCTAAGAAAAGAAGCACAGACCTTAGATTAACCACAGCAATCAACTCATATAAGATGATGTGCAGACAGGAAAAGGTTTTATTTCTCCTTAGCAAATCTAGTAACATTTACACATGCGCCTCAAATTTAATATCCTTTATAACTTAAGTCTGGGAATGATCGCTTAGAAAATTTCTGCTTCTGCTTTGTTCTCCAACTGTTTCAAATAAATTCTCCCTCCCAGTTCCTCAGCTTAATAAATGGAACCGCCAGTCATAAACCCCAAGTCCTAACACCAGGAGTCATTCTTGGCTTCTCCTTATTTTCCACATCCAGTTCACCCACCAGTTCACCAATAAGTCCTGTCAACTATGCATCCAAAACACATTTCAACTCTGCCCCCCTCTCTCCATTCTTGTTATCACTTCCCACTGAGTCTCCCGAACAGCCTTCTAGACAGGACTGCATCTCGCCCCTTAGGAGTCCATTCTTCAGAGTACTGAGAGAGGCGCCTTCAAACCTCAAGTCAAACCAGAGCCGGACCCTACCTGACCGCCTTCCAGTGGCCTCCTGTGGTCACCCAGGTGGTCTACAATCACTACACTACTTGTAAGGCCCTTCGAGATCGGGCTATGCACAGTGGCCACGCTTCATGGAAACAAATGAGCAAAGAATCGTTCACAAAGAGAATTTTAAGGAGGCAACTGTTTCCTTGCCATTTGTCACAAGTATTTGTATTGTAAACAGATGTTTAGTTTGATCTTTTGGGGAAGAGACCAGCAAGTAATACACGTGGATTTTTCCGTGTATGTACAGAGGTATTTTTGACATGGGTTTGCTACAGAGAAAGAACTGATAAATAAACTTTTTATTTATTTTGTTATTGTTTAATCCTCACTTGAGGATATGTTTATTGATTTTACAGAGAGAAACATCGATGTGAGGGAGAAACATTGACTGGGTGCCTTGCATGGACCTGCAACTTCTTGGTACACGGGACGATGCTCCAACCAGCTGAGCCACCTGGCCAGGGCCATACAGAATCTTCTTAAAAGAGTCAATCTGATCTATCTTTAGGGGGAAAAGACAGTGAAATGGGGTTTTCATGTCAGGATCATCATTTGTATGTCTTCACAGATACTAGTTCGTTTCCATCAATATCTACTTCTCCAATCAATTTATCTGTTCTTTATCCTATTAGATTTTCTTCTCTTGCATTCACAGGACATGGTTTTGCTGCACCGATTTCTTCTTTGTTGTCCGTATCTTTTAGCTTCTCAGATGTGTAGTGTGGCAAAGCGGATTAGGGCAGACTCTTGAGCCAGACTGCCTGGGGTGGAGTCCTGGCTTTGCCACCTACTCTTTGACCTTTGGCAAATTATTTCACCTCTCTGGGCCTTGGTTTCCTTGTCCATAAAATGAGGGTAAAAATCACACTACCTCAGGAGAGAACTAAGCGAATCAATATACTCCAAGTACCTAAACTGCACCATACATAGGGCCGTGCAAATGTTAACTGCTCATACTTGTTATCACTGTCTAGCCACGATGATGACATATGACAGCCTTACCACTGGCTTACAGTGTGGCTTACACAGCCACATTGCTATTTTGCTTCTCTTGCATTCTGACCTAATGACCCTAATTCCAAATACTTTTTTGGGGTGGTGCAGGTGTCGTCTTGTTAAATAGCTGAAAGCTTCCTCAGATGCAATCACACGCTCTTTGCTCGGCAGCCTGGCCACCTGCAGCTGGAGGAGGAGGAGGGGAGGAGGGTGTGCCGGGATGGGGGCCGTTCCATCCCTGGTGGGTGTGGACGCCACTGTTTCATTGTTCCGTGTTTTATATTTACATCTTTGGTAAGTGTGGGATATTTTTGAGTGTAAATTACGAAGTAGCAATCCAACTTCTTTCCAAGCAATTAGCCAAGTGTCCCAAGTCCGTCATTATGTAATCCACTCTTTCTGCATTGATTTAAAATGTCTTCTGATCCAATACTGAATTCTTACATTAGCTTGCTAATTCTGATTCCAACTAATTCCACTTATTTTTTTTCCTTTTCTCCTCTGCCAGCACCATACTGTCTCAATTACTACACTGTGTTTTTAACTGGTAGGGCAAATCACTTCTCTTTATTTATTTTTTCCTAAATAGTCCAGGCTGGTCTCATAAACTTTGGAATGATTTTCACCAGTTTCAATTTTTAAAAACCTCTTTGGAATTCAGATGGAAATTTCATCTCAATTTACATTACTTTAGAAAGACTTGGTATTTTTTTTACATGATTGAGTATAACCTCAGAATGTGTTATGCCTCATATTCAAATGTTTCCTGTTTCTCAGTAAAGTTCTATAGTTTTCTTCAGAGGGCCAGAAAGTACTAACAGTCAATATTTTTAAGTGCTTATAACTTACGACAGGCAGTATGTATGTGTTTTACACATATTAACTCTTATCTCCACATGAGGTGGTACTATTATTAGTCCCATTTTATGGATGAAGAAACTGAAATATAGAGCGGTTAAGTACCTTGCCCAAGGTCATGCAGATAATATGGGCTCAATCCATATTTGATTACTGAAAGACTATGTAAAAGAAAGCATTAACACTGAATCTAGAAAAGAACGGAAATCACCTGGTCTAGGCTCTTCTGCGTGGCCTGTGTTAGTCAATCTCACAGCAGCCCTGCAAAGTAGCCACACTATCATCAGGGATAATAAACACACAGCTGCTTGCTCAGTACTGGGCACACAGTAGGTGCTGAATAAGTGGCAGCTATTATTACTATAATTATTATATTTAAGAAATTTATTGAATACATTTGACATGTAATGTTCTGTAAGTTTAAAGTATACAGCATGTCAGAAGCGGTCTAACCTCGAGGGGACCCAAGGATGACAACTACATAATGTAGATGCAATAGGCACAATGACGGGATATATAAAACCAGTGAGTGCTAGATAACGAAGCTGCTATAAAACATTTTTTTCTCCTTACCTCTGGGTGAAAAAGAAAGAAAATTTTATCCTTCACGACAGCATGGGTGGACTTGGAGAGCATTATGCTAAGTGAAATAAGCCAGTCAGAAAAAGACAAATACCATGTGATTTCACTCATATGTGGAACCTAATGAGCAAACCAAACAAGCACAATGGGGACAGACTCACACGTGGAGAGCAGGATGCCAGCTGAGGGTGGGGAAGTCAGGGGGATGGAGGGACTGGGCAAAAAGGAAAAAGGACTCACGGACATGGACAACAGTGTGGTGATTGCTGGGGGAGGGGATATAAGGGGACTAAATGGTAACGGAAAAAATACAATAAAGATTAAATTTTTTTAAAGCAGCTTTTTTTTTTAAGATTGTATTTATTTATTTTTAGAGAGGGAAGGGAGGGAGAAAGAGAGAGAAACATCAATGTGCGGTTGCTGGGGGTCATGGCCTGCAACCCAGGCATGTGCCCTGACTGGGAATCAAACCTGCGACACTCTGGTTCACAGCCCGAAGATTAAATTTTAAAAAAAGCCTGAGTTCTTTCCCTTAATAACTACAAGATCTTAAGCAAATCCTTTAAACTTTCTGATTCACTACTTTATCACCATCAAGCAAATGATAGTGCCGACTACTCCATGTTCATTTATTCTAGTCAGTACTACAGCTTCTTTTACACGTTCTTTTAGGTAGCAATTATTTACTGACCACTTACTATGTGGACATCACTGCATTAAGCACAGGACAGAGAAGGACCCCTTTGTAATTTATATTCTAGTGGGAGAATGTATAACTAAATAAGTAAAGAAGATAATTCAAGAATGTAACGACTCTATGAAGGAAATAGAGAAGGAAAGAGATTAGGGTAGCCTGAGAAGAATGTTTGAGAAGCCGGCATTTAGCTAAGACCCTAAAGATGAGAAGTCAGCCCTGTAAGGATCTGAGAGGAAAGCAAAGTAGGATGGGAGAAGAACAGGTGCAAAGGTCCTTAACCAATAAAGAGCTTGGTTCTTGAAAAAAGAGTCCATGTGGCCAGGAACATGAAGATCCCACTTACAACAGAAGTGGGCAATGTAAGGCAAAATGAGTACCTGTCATTGCATACTTCATCACTTACGTGTTACGGCTTATGTTACATGTCATGAACCACGAACAAAACTTCTGGCTAGGAAACCACACAGAGGCTGCGGTGATCATCTCCAGATCTCAACTGTCAATCAACTCATAACTGTTCCATGATATAACTGTACACCTAATGCCTTCCCGTTAACCTTGCAGGGGCCCAAAACTTCCACCTATCGAGTTAACGTGGCATAGCACCTGTACAGAAGGTTGTCACAAGGGCAGAATTTGGGCTTGTCCTTGCAGGCTTCTGCTCCATCTCTAGTCAGTGTGCTCACAAGACAAGACATGCCACATGGTTCTACTACCCCCGCACGACCACCTGAGAATCGTAATGACCCAACACGTTCTACAGTGAGCTCTCAAACCACCGTCCTCTGCTCAGTTCACTACTTAAAGAAAGTCCAAGGATATCGCTACTTATCAGAAATTCTACAACCAAAGTTCAGTGGAAAAGATGAACCTAAATTACAAGTTCTTCAATCTGTGGATTCTAGCATATCACTCCTCACTATCATTACTAATTTAAAAGTGATGAATTAATTTTGCTAGCTGTAAAAGCAAAGTGATTTAAAATGAAATGTTATGTCAGCCTACCAGAGATGGATTAAACATGATGTCAATAGTGGTTTGACAATCCTTGAAATACTGTCATCCACAGTACAAATAGACTAGGCCACAAAATTAAAAACAAAACAAAACAAAACACACACACACACAACAATCCTGGATCCCGCAACCCAATGAGCAGCACCAGCCTGTAGGTCCCATGAACGCCAAGGAAGAGGGCCAAGGGCAGCCGTGAGAATAGAAGGGCAAACATAAAAGGACACTAGGACACTACATGTGACCCGAAAATGTCACAGTGCTATCAAATAACGACAGTATAAAACAACCAGGGTTTTGAGCTTCCCTTTCTCCGCATCCTAAGCCTGGCTCTCCCCTCTGAGGGACCCTCTTCCTCTCCGGCCCCTGCAGCGGGGACCTCACCACTCTTGAACACTGCACGCACCTCAGTGACAGCAAAGGCTCCTGGGATACCGTGCTCCTAGCACCTGGGAAAATGCCCGAGGGAGGAATGCCTCTGGGGGTGGGGGGGAGCAGAGTGAGCAGTCTGCTCCTCCTGCTTGTTCATCTCACCACAACAACCCCTCCTCCTCTAAGACTGAGGCCATCTACTGCCATCTAGCAACGTTTTAGTCAGCCTCGCGTATTCCCTGAAAACCTTCACTCTTAGCTGGCAGTTTCACCTGCCATGCCAGCACGAGGGCGATTTCAGAATCTGGGTGGACTGGCTGAGCCAACAGCTTTGTCCCATAATTCAAACAGTTCCGCAAGCCACACCCGTGACCAGGGATGTGCCCGCCAGTCCCCCGTCAGGCTGGTTCAACACAGATGGCCCCGCCCCCGGGGTTTCTGGTTCGGAGGGTCTGGCATGGGGCCCGACAACGGGCATTTACTGCTGGTCCTGACACCAAGTCTGGGAACCACAGGCCTCGATCTTTTCATTACCTGGAAACGGTGACCATTCAAAGCATCCCGACTCAGATGGCTCTTCAGCCTGACCTTCTTCCCTTTTGGACCTCACCCCCGATACACCTGCTATTCGACCACGGTGCTGCTCAAAACCTATCTACTCGTTTTTGGTTGACAATTCCTTTCGTCCTGCATATCTGCTATTCTCAGTGCCGACCACTTTCCTCAAAGCCCCACCCACCCTCTGCTATCCTGAATGTCAGCGGACCACCTCAACGCTTGGTTAACAGAGGCCACAGAGGCTGGGAGGCAGGAACCGCTCCAAAGACTCCCTTCCCCTGCTCCATGTCAGCGAACAACGTCATCGCCTTCATTCTGGACTCAGGAGGAGATCCCTTCTCCAGTCCAGGGTGCTGTTTCCACTCATTTTCTCACTCCTGCATTTGGCTGTGGCCTCCAAATCTCTGGTCCATCAGACAGCACTTGTCATGCCTACGATTGCAAACTCTCCCTCGCTCGTGGCAGAACCCATGCATTTTTAGTTCCAACAGATGCCAACAGATCTGCTCCTCCACCCAGAAGACTGTTACATCACGGCGGAAGACTGGACGTTTACTTCCAGAAGAGGCGGAACTGAGGACAGAGGTGGGACCGTGGGAGTGGGACTCTCAGCCCGGCTGAGAACAGAAGCACCAGGCTGCGAAGACATGAGGTTAAGTGTTGCTGAACACCGAGACTCTCAACCTCCTGTCCCTGCTCAGCACACACGTCAGCTCACTGCCCCCCGCCCCCACCGCTCAGCCAGGATCCCGGAAGGTTTCTTCCTGGGGAAACCGAACAATCCAAGAAGCAGCTACAGATACTGAAAGCTGGAAATTCTCCAATAAAATACTGGGTCCCTACCTGTCACCCCAAACAGAGGATGACCTAGGGTGACGACCAAAGTCACACGTCCTGCCCAGAAAGCCGGTCAGACCAGGATGGCGGGTCACCCTGGGCACACCTGCTGACGAGCCCTGCCTTTAAATGCAGAGCTCCTTTCCATTTTTTTGTGTCTTTCTCTTAAAAACAAAAGGGCAGTCAAGGATCACCAAGCATCCAGAGAAAAACAAACACTAATGCAAACAGAAAAAGTAACACAGAAAAACTCTAACAAATGGAAGAAGCCAAGGAAAATGAGAAGATACTCACAGAGTAGGAGACTATGAAAAAGGGAGAAAGGAACTCTTAGGATGAAAGTATATGAATTTCTAGTTTAAGGGGTCCACCAAAACCCAAGTGTAATGTATGAGAAAAAAAATTCACATCAAGGTCTTTCACTGAAAAATCTCAGAATTTTAGAACAGAGAAAAGATCCATTTTTTTTTTTTTGGCTGGGGGAGCTTCACATACAAAAGATCAAAAATCAGAATGACATCAAGACTTCACAAAAGCAGCTCTGAATCCTGGAAAACAATAAAAATGCCCTTCAAGTGTTAAGGAAACATTATCTCCAACCTAGAAGTGAAGACATTTTCTGACATGCTAGATCTTTAAAAGATTAGTTCCTATGCACCTCTTCTCCAGAAGCTACTGGGGATGTGCTCTACCCAAAATAAGGGAATAAACCAAGACAGAAAATACGGGACCCAGGAAACAGGGAATCCGACCCAGAGGAAAGTGGGAGAAATCCCCAGTGTCCTGTGCGGCAGCCGGGGAGAGCCAGCGGCCCAGAGGGGGGCCAAAGACCAGAGAGTTCTACGAGACAGCGCACCAGGAAAAAGCAAAACTGACAGATTATTCAAGGGCATTGAAAATATTTCTTTTTCACTTCTAGAGAATAGTTGTAGGATAAATTAGTGATAAAAAACATAGGCAACTAAAAAAATGAAAGAGATAATCATTAACCCAGAGAAAACAAACAAAAATTTACAAGGAAAGAATGTAACCATCATAGCCCATAGACTTAGCTATATGAGTGACACAGTCTAATGTAATAAAACATAATATGCTGTAATACATATTTACAGTTCCACTTTTAATCTTTAAGGCTGATATATACATTCAACTTACTTACAACTCAGGAAGTGCTATGAACACCCAGTCAGGCACCTACCCCTAACATTCTGTTAACAATGATCCGGCACAAGTCACAAATGACCCAGCTGCCGAGTCCCAGAATAAGTCAACATTCTACTTATGATCATCTTGAAATGAGACAAAGAAGTTATTTAGAAGACTTTGAAAGAATATTTGACAGTTCTAATTATTCTAAAAATTGTGAAATTTAAAAAATTACAAAACTATATGTATAGTATACTTATAATTGATATATATGTATACACATACAAACATATATATTAAATAATATAATATAATATATAAAAATGCATAGGAAAAAAAGCCCAACCACCCAACTACTAAGGGTGGTTATTATCAATGGTTTGAGTGATTTCTTCCCTTCCATAAGGTCTACCAAGTTCTCTTTGAAATAAAAAAGAGTTGTAAGTACCTACATAATCTCCCCATCCAGACTTCTACACTTACCAGTGATAATGAAAATAAGCAGCTTAGGCCTGGTGACACTTGGGTCCTTAAAGAGGTTAGTCCAGGGCCCGCATTTTAGAACCTGGGTTTCAGCTCCACCACATAAAATGAATTCCTCATGCACGGGAACTTCTTCCTTGACTTCTGAGTCCATTTCTAAATAAGGGAAGAAAAACAGTATCAGGAGTCACTAAAACGTAAAACCTTGAGCCAAGGACAATAGTCATGAGTAAACATGGCAAATTTCAACATAGTCGGAAGGAATGCCCTGAGGAGATGAGGGAGACAGGTGACCATCAGCTGCTGTGCATTACAGGGTTGCGAACCCACCGCCACTGAAACAAACCACAGACTGGGAAGAAACGGTCCCGGTGGCTTGGTGAAATAAGACCACAGAGGAGGAGGACCCACATAGGAGTGGGATCATATGGTATTTGTCTTTCTCTGAGTGGCTTACTTCACTTAGCACAATGTCCTCCAGGCCCACCCACACTGTTGCAAAGGGTAAGAAGTCCTTTTTAACGACTGAATAGTATTCCTTTGTGTAAATGTACCACAGCTTTTTTATCCACTCAGTTACTAATGAACTTCGGCTGCTTCCAAATCTTGGCTATTGTATTCAGCAAATAGTGCTGCTATGAACGCAGGGGTGCATGTGTTCTTTCAAATTAGTGTTTCGGGTTTCTTCACAGAAACGACCAGAAGTGGAATTGCTGGGTCAGAAGACAGGTCCATTTTTAAAAAATGAGCTTAGGGCCCTTGCAGTCTTGCTGGAGGCCGACACCTGCATCCAGGGCCCCTCGGAATCTGCCTGGCCTCTGCCTGCCGCTGCATCTCTGGCCTCTCCCATGCAGCCACTCTGCCCTGGGAGCCCACCCGGAACGAGACCCCTAGCATGTGGCAGTGGGGCTGGCTGGAAGGGTGCGTATGACGCCCAATCCCGCTGGCCCGCTGACTTGGGGTGCCGACCAGCAGCTCTGCCAGATTTGGAACCTGCTCCTTCTTCCAGCTTTTGCAATCCATTCTGCTTCTTGAAATGAGTATCCTTCTACCTCGACCCCTGAAGCCCCACTTTGAGGAACTGGGATTTACCACCAACAAAATAATGAAAACCAGCATTCATTCAGAGCTAACTTTTTGCCAAGTGCTTAACATTTTGGACATATTTAATCCTCACTACCATTTTATGTTGGTGGTGCTTTCATTTTCCTCATTTTTCAGATGGAAGACCTCAGCCTGAAGAGTTCAAGCAACTTGTCCTGGGTGATTCTGGCGCATATTGTTAGTTTTCCACATCCACTACTAACTACTAATAAATCTCCACTCTCATGTTCTTTCCCTTCTCTGAAAACTGAGACCTTCTGGGGAGCCACTAGCACCCTGCGTAGTTCACAGGTAAGTATATCCCAGCGTGGAAGCTGTTAGGCCCCCTGGGGCAACAGCAATCAATGAGGGCGGAACACAGCGCATAAATGGCTATTCCCTATCTGTAAGCTGGGCAATTCTGGAAGGTGACCTCTAGCCTTTCAAGTGTCCCAGAGGAATCAAGCCACTCTTGCTGCAGCAATGATCTTGATCCTACACCCAGAACTCGGCAGAAAAGGGGACACGAGGAAAACAGCACCACCAACAAAAACTGATAAAGAGCATCTATGGAACACTTTTAGATCACATTATTCTTAATGATGAGATATTGAGTGACCTCTCAATACATTTGGGGAAGAGGCAGGCAGTCCACCTGCACCCTTCCTAGACAGCATTATACTGGCAGTCCCAGCTGCTGGAATAAGGCAATCACAAGTAAGGAAAATCATAAAGATGAAGCAGGGAGAAATATAACTGCCTCCATCTGTAGGCAAATGTTCATGCAGAAAATTCTACAAAATCTACAAAACATATAGTATAACTAGTTTATCCAGACTGTGGGGTAAAAAGTTAATACAAACAATCTTACCTTTATATAATAGCAGCAAACAATGGGAAGATTAAAACAGAAAAAATACATTTATAATAGGCCCAGACCCATAAATATTTAGGAATAGATTTATCAAAAGCTATGTAACATTCTTCGCTAAAAATCACAGAACACTGATGAGACAAATGAAGAAGACATGAATGATGAGTAAGCTGTACCATGCTTACAGACCGGAAGACTCAATATCATTGCGGGGCTCACTCTCCAAAGTGGATGTATAGATTCAGTGCAACATAGATAAGAGGTCTGGAAGGACTTTTTATACGAATAGAGAAGTTGGTTACATGTGGCTATGAAAATCAGCTAGAATAGTGAGAGTAACTTTTAAAAACAAAAAACTCGGCAGATTGGCACTACCTGACTTCAAGACTTACCATAAAACCAAGGTAGCCATGACAGTATGGCGCTGGTGAAATGACAGACATAAAGATCAAAGAAAGGGAAAAGATAGTTCAAAAATAGATCCACATATGTATCGGACATATGCATATCCATATATATTTCTATATATACATGCAAATTTACTTTGGATGGATGTTAAATGCAATCTGTTACCTGGAAAACTTCACACTATATGAAAGTAATGAACAATAATCCCTATTTCATACCATGCAGAAAAATTAACCCAAATCTATCACAGATATGTACGCAGAAGACAAAACTATACCATTTTTATGGCTAAATATGTGAGGAAATATTTGTAACTTTAGATTAGGCAAAACATTTTTAGATAGGACAGAGACTCACAAAAATAACAAGTAAAAATGACATCGGACTTCAAAACTGAAAACATTTGCTCTTCAAACAAACAGAACATCTAGGACACTGGAAAGGAGAACATGTTACATCAGAAAATACATAATCATAACAAAAGGTTATATATGGAACAGATAAAGAATTCTTAGAATGAAATAAAATAAAGCAGCCTAATTTTTTAAATCAGAGAAAGCTTTGAATATGTACTTGAAAGAGGAGATATACATATCACTAATAAGCAGCTAAGAAGATGCTTAACACCATGAATCACCAGGGAAATACAGATAAAAATAACAAAAAATACCATCATAAAACCATTAGAATAGCTAAAGTTAAAAAACAATGCCACAAGACACAAGCAAAGGATCCAAGATGGTGATGGAGTAAGTGGATGTTACACTTACTTCCTCCCAGGCCCAAACTGGAATTACTGCTAACTACAGAGCAATCTACCTGGAAAACCAACTGAAGACTAACTGAACAGAAGTCTCCTAACCAAGGATTTATAGAAGAAGCTACATCGAGACTGGTAGGAAGGACAGAGAGACATGAAAAGGGCGGGCCCTGCTCCCGTGGGTGGTGGCTGAGATTCTGAAAGAATATTAGCAGCTGCAATTCCTGTCCAGATACCAATGGTGTAGTTCAGAGAACTAGAACAAACATTCCAAAAATGTATATGGAATGTGGTAGAGCCAGCATTTGAACCCGGGTGTCATGTTCTTTGTTTAAGAAAATTTCATTTAAATGGATCAATGACATATAATATGCTAGAGTTTTAAATGGTTATTTTTAATCTTTTGCGTGTGTCATCTCTACCTCTCCTCGCCTCCATGCACATCACCTCTAAACCTATGTTATTAACTCAGTACAGTCTTCCATAATTTTCTATAACCACATATACATAAGCATGTATATACATCCTAATAAATGAGTTGTCAGTGTTTGAGAAATAGGAGCATATTATACACACATCTGTGCATTTGTTTCTATACTTAATAATACATGAAAATCCTGCCAAGTCTAATCTTGTAACTCTAAGTCACCGTTTTGAATGGTTGTATAATGTGGACACACCATAATTCGCATGGCCATCTCCCTGTCTGTTGACAGGGACTGTTCCTGGCATACTCGTAAATCCCCATGTTCTTTCATATATCCACATATAGCACTTTTTGTTTCTAAAGGCCAGATTCCCAGGTGTGGAATTACGGGGTTGAATTTTAACAGGCGTAGCCAGATTGCTTTGCACACTCTAAGAATCACATTTCCTCTAGGAATCTAGCAAGCTATCTAGCAATCTAGCAAGATTGTATCTTTCCCTACAATCCTACCATCAATGAGTAGTACCATTATTTTTAATTCTTGTAGTGTTAGGGTATGAACTCTCATTCTTTAATTTGCATTTCTCTGACTACCAGTCTATTTGAACACCTTTACATGTTTGCTAGCCCTCTGGACTTTCTTTTCTGTGAATTATTAATTTTTATCCTTTGTCTGGGTTCCAAGTGGGTTATTTATATTCATCTTATTGGTGTGCAAGAGATCTTTGTATACTGCTTATAGTCACCATATTCTGGGCTCCTATTTTTTCTTTATTTATATCGAATTTATTGGGGTGACATTGGTTAATAATTACACACGTTTCAAGTGTACAATTCTCTAACACATCATCTGTACACGGTATTGTTTGTTCAACACCCAAAGTCAAGTTTCTTTCCATCACCATTATCCCCCTTTGCCCTCCTCTACTCTATCCTCCTCCCCGCCGCTTCCTACTGGTAACCACCGTACAGTTGTTTGAGTTTTTTTTCTTAGTCCCTTCCCTCTGACAGCTGTCAGTCAGTTCTCTATTCGATTGTCTATCTATGAATCTGTTCCTATTTTGTCTTAGTTTATTTTGTTCATTAGATTCCGCATATCTGTGAAATCATATATATCCAGTATTTGTCTTTCGCTAGAGGAGCGATTGCTGGGCCGGCAGCCCCAGGGCCACCCGGACAAAGTGGTTCCGGACCCCGGAGCGGTCGCAGCACTGTGGCTCCGTTACTTTCGCCCCTGCGGGCCGTCCGCCCGAGGACAGCGGGGGCTCCGCGCGCAGCCAGAGAAAGCAAGGGCTCCGGCCCCCGCACGCCTGCCCGGCCGTCCTCCCCCTTGCAAACTCACCCCGAGAACGGCAGGCAGAAGCTCGCTTGCTCGTCTAGAAGGCAGCGGGCTCTACCACGACCGCCCTGCCAAGGCGACACCAGGTCCGGAAGTCCCGGGCCCTCTGACGTCACAGCCCCGCGACGCGAACCCCCACGGGGAACCGGCGCCTCCGCACGCGCGGCTTGCGGCGGGTTGGGTGGTCCTTGACCCCTGCTTGACGCCCGTGGTCCACGTACAGCGAGATCCCAGGGAGGGTGTCGCGCTGCTGGAACTTTCCCCTTGCATTTGAATGTCATCCCTCTCTGATTTCAGTCCTCCGTGATATACTTCCGGCCTCCCTTCTCGTTTTTCCCATTTCTTCTTCTCTTTTTCTTCTGCCCGCTTTTCTCTTCCTCCTTTACTGGTTGCATCTCTTCCCTTCCCCGCAAACACAGGGAGGGTGATTCTCAGTTGACTTCCTTAGCATTCATATAGCCAGCCTATGCCACTTCACACTTCGGCAAAATGCAGAAGATGCCTATTATGAGGTCGTTGGAACATGCCACACCCAGACTCCATGAAGATGCAGGTCATTTTCGTCTTGTGAACTGTGGCATCCGTATATGTCTGTACAAAAATGCGATGGTGAGTGTGACGTAGTTTTATAGCTAGGGGGAAAAGTAGACAAGTATAGACCAGCAGGTCATCAGTGACTGTCGCCTGCGCGCAGGAAGGAAGACTTCTTCCTTTTGTATTCAGCATCGCAGTGATAATGAACCACCATCCCACCAGTTTTGGGAAGTAGACTGGTGCTCCTCTTCATAACCTCTCCCCCTTTTCAGTTTTAATTTCTAAATAGGATAGATAACACAATGAGTTTAGAAAAAGCTACTCACTGTCCTAAGAGCCTTTCATGAATTAACTCAAGTTTAGTTCTCACAGCTACCCATTGATGTCAAAATTAATATGTGACCATAGAGTCTGAAAACATAGACAAATACACAAAGTAAATGAGTGATTACATTGCATGGTATGTTTGTTCAAGGTGCTGTGCCTTGTTACTAATGCACAGTTCAGTGTGCGCGAAAATTGGGGTGAGTGTTATTCTCAAGCACAGCATTTCTTTCAATCCTTGCATATGCATTTGTGATGTGTTCTCTTAAGTGATTTATGTCTGATTTCATTACATAAGCCAGTGCCTGAACAAGTAACCCAGGGGGTTCAACCTTAGGGAGTTCAGCCTAGCTGGAAGAATGTAGCTTATAGTCTTTCACGGTTGTAGCCCAGTTGGTTGCTTGGGGCTGCAGACCTCAAAGTTCCACTGAGGCTGGAGAATCCACTGCTAAGCTCAACCATGTAATTGGTGTCCAACACTGTTTCTCACTGGCTGTTGGTCAGAGGCTGACCTATTTCTGGGGCATCTGGGGACTCATTATAAAAGCCTTTAGGGGCTGACTCAGCATTTCATTTATCTAACAATGTCCCTAGAAAGATGCAATGTGGGTTTTCTGATTATTTAGCTTCATTACTGGGTGGCAAGACAATGTATTGAAAGAAAGCTTCAAAATATAAGTAGAGGTTTGTGTAGAATAGGCTCATTATGGAACTCTAAGGAATGTAGATGACAGTAGGAGAGAGAGTTTTGTTAACAGGTAATATTTAGACATTTACTATGTGCCAAGTTTTGTGCTAAATGTTTAACATAGGCCTAGAAGGGGAGGAGAAGTTTGAGGACAGAGTTCAGGATGATAGTTTCAGATAAATGGTCCCCTTTTTGCTCAGTTCATAAAGATCCATGTCTGAGTCCTAAGAAGCAGAAAGAAGTCATTTTCTCATAAATCTATGAGGGATTTTGGGGTGCTAAGGCAGTGCTCCTTAGGAACCACTGCAACGGAGTATAGCACCAAGGAATTCTGCCTCTTGTTGAGCAGAGAAGCCCCCAGCAGAGCGCCGTGGGTGTGAGATGATTTCAGGGGACTGTTCAGCACATGTAGCGCGTGTAGGGAGGAAGTCACAGTGGAGTGTCAGAGCCTTCTACCACTTCATGGGAAACACTGTGGAGGAGGAAGAGAAGAAAAATGCTTGCATTTCTGACATGGCCCAGATAACTCTGCAGGGACGATTGAAGACAATTCTTAGAAACTGTCGTAATGGTTGGGGACCATTTAATGGAAGTAAGAGAGTAGTTGGGGCCACTTTGCAGGAGAGATGGAAGGCCCACAGTAGCAGTGAGAGTGACACAGAGAGATGGGGAAAGCTCAGATGTTTATGGTGCGAAGGAATGTCTCTGGTGGAAGTTATGAGAATGTCAGAAGGACCTGCACTCAGCAGTAAAATACACTCCCATCTTCCTTACTGTTCCATTCCAGAGAAAGTTCAAATGATTGTTTTGGACATCCTTGGAATCAGGATATGTAAATTGAAGATTATATAAAAAGGAACAAGAGGAAAAAAGAAAAAAGAACAGAAAATAAGAAAAAAAGAATATTTTTATTTTAAGACTCTCAAGGTCATTCACCATATATAACGTAGCTGTATTTCCAAATGTTTTGTTTTAATCTGTCAATATAATCCATTTGTCCCCCTCAATGAAACCATACCATGAAAGAAGCTTTTCATGTCAGGGTAGGGTACAGATAAGAAAAACATGTGAGGTGTTGTTCAACTGTCTCTATAAATTAAAAAAAAATAGAGATTGGTAGTAGGTACAGATGGATATTCCTTTAGAGGACAGTATGTTCCCATTTTGTTGGATTCCTTAGAAACTGCTCTGTTCAACAAGGTTTTGGTGAGCTATTTATACTGCTACAGTACTTTTACACATCATTCCTTATTTTTTTTATAGAGTCTTTATATTCCCCCGTGAAATAAATCAAAGTATCTTTTCATATCCTCAACCTATCCAACTCTTATAGACTGAATAATGGCCTCCAGCATCCGAATCCCTGGAACCTGTGAATGTGCTACATTACATGACAAAAAGGACATCGCAGATATGATTATGGTGTGGTAAGGATCTTAAGTTGGGAAGATTATCTTTGACTATTCAGGTGGGCCCAATGCAATCATAAGGGTCCACGTAAGAGGAAAGCAGGAGGCCAGAGTAAGAGACCATAAAGTGACAATAGAAGTGGAGGGAGAGAAAAAAATATGACAGTGGGAGCAATGGTCAGAGAGAGAGAGAGAGAGAGAGAGAGAGAGAGGCAGGCTATGGTGTGCTTTGAAGTGGGAGGAAGGGGCTACAAACCAAGGAATGCAGGCAGCCAGCCAGCTGATTGCTGGAAAAAGGAAGGAAATGGATTCTTGCCTAGATCTTCCAGAAGGAACACAGGCCTGCCACCATAACTTTAGCTCAGTGAAGTTGATTTTGAAGTTCTGACCTCCAGAAAATTTAAGATAATAAATTTGTGTTGTTTTTAAATCACTACATTTGTGGTGATTTATTGTTGCAGCAATAGGCAACTAAAATACCAACTAAAGAGAAGCTTTGGCCTTTTCTGTTTTGCAGCAAGTGAAGAATGGTAGCTAGAAGTTTAACTTCTTTTTATTTTCTATGCTCTGGAACAAATAAGTAGTATTGGAACTATCAATAATTTATATTTTCCTAAAAATCATTCTCTTAATTCAGGTTGTCAAATTTATTTGCTTTGAGTTGAGTAAAGTAGTTGCTTATGAATCTTTCAGTTTCCTCTATTTGTGGTTATTCCATTCTTTCCAACTTTGTACTTTTGTGGGGTCTCACACTTCCCCCACTTCAGCAGATGACACAAAGGTTTACGTTTATAGATTTTAAGGCTTTTTTTTTTTTGCAAGCAGCATCCTTGGATTTACATAGTAGTTTTACATGTTTTTCTTTTTAAATTCATTATTGAATGCTTCTTAAGTTATGATTCTTCCCTATAGGTTAAGAGTTGTGCCTTTGATTTAGCAATCAATCATTTTAACATGGAGTCTTACAGAACACTACATATTGATAGATCTCAGCAAAAACATAAGATGCCAAAAATACTTGAAAATAGTATTTTTGGTTTAGTACCCTTTGCCTTATATTGTCATTATTTTATGTGGCAAAGCTGGCATTACAAGAACATTTGGTTAATTGTCTAATTTTTGTTCTTACAGGCCCCCATTCTCTGAATGTTAGAACAAGCCTGAGTTCCAGTATGCTAATCTCCAAGTAGTCAAATGTGCCTAGGGAAGAAAAATAATCTTCAGGGAAACTACAACTACAGACCATATGAGTTGCATTATTAGTACTTTCCATGTAATAATTCTACACATTGTTATCATTAGCAACACTATTTCAATCACGAATATCACCCAGTTCAGAAGAAATCATTTCTGAATTGTCTCTATTTGACCATGATCAAGAGGAAAAAAATACAAGACGGAGTTTTCCTTTAGTGTTGTATCTGACATTTTTAAATAGACTCATTTTCTGCGGTTTCATGTAACCTATTACATTTGTCACTGGATGGAAAGGAGGCCTGTCTCTCATTAGCACTTCCGCTAGCACTTGAGAAAAATATCCTGGAAGAAAAAAAGATTCAATTTTCTTCCCCTGCTTTGGAGGCATTTGAGTTTTTTTTTTTTGAGAATTTCAGGGAATATCATCTCTAATTTTAGTTGAATACCCCTTACCATATGATGTTACATGATATAACTAACATACTATCTGCCTAGAAATATGTTTCTCTTTGATCCTAAAAATGGCTTTTGATTAAAAAATTGGCTCTCCATTATGCTCAGAGTGAGATAGCACTTAAGTGGTGCTGTGGGGGGGACTGATCTCTAAAAGACAGAACAAAAGAATGGATCAGAATGAAATCTGTTACTTTTTTTTATCCATCTCTTCATGTTTTCCCTCCTTTATGTGTATCTGAGCCCCAAGATTCCCTGACAACGTCCACAAATTTGGAATGTGTTTATGCTGGACGTGGCGTGTGTGTGTGTGTGCGCGCGCGTGTGCTTGGTCTTTGCAAGGAAGCTTTGGAAATATTTTCAGCCCAGTTATTCCCACTTCCCCCATCTTCCTTCCCACTTTCCCCATCACCAGAGATGTCCTCAGCATCTGTTAGAGACTCTCCATTGGGCTGAGTCATTGAGGACGAGACAGCGTTCCCGTGCACCACTCACCGAT